ATATCAGTAGCCTCGTCTCGGTGGCTTGAGTCGGGGAGGGGAGTGGGGATGTGAAGGTAACGGCCAGTCGGGCAGAATGGAACCTACGGAAGGGCGAGGCGATCGAGTCTACATTTATCTGACTTGGTTCACTCTCATATTGGAAAGCTGTGGGTCATTGAAGAGCTTCGGCGTCGGCAGCCCCTCGCTGTTCAGCTCGAACCAATGGCTTATGTCGGTGCCGGCCGCCTTGAGAATGGGTGTGCTGAGAGCCGACCTGTTGCTGGCCATAAGATTGGTAAGGTCCAGTACCTATTGCAAAAAAGAAGGATACCACAAGCGACAACTGTAAGCGATTTACTCTGCCATGTACTGCTACCCAACAGTCATTGTTCTTGCTGTGGCTGGCCAGGTCGGATGGTGTATAGACCCTCCGAGGAGTGTACGATGGTGGCACATCTCCTTGACAGAGAACTTCCATGTTGTCTTTTAAAACAACTGACAAGCACGTCCATCAGGGAAACTCTTTCGAGGGAGCCCATCTCCATTGTCACTCGAAGCTTGCCAGCGAATCCTCTGCGAGAAGTTTTCTCGTGACAAGATTGTCTTGGTAGTCTTATTCAGGACCCTACTGATCCGCATATTCAGAGTAATACCGCAACGAAAGTATTGACAACCATACATATCCAGCTTGCAATAGAAACAAGTCCGAAACGCTGTGGGCCAATGATTGCTACACTTCCACTGCTACTTCCCAACGGCAGAGGCAGCCAGTTTGGCCGTCTCCAATGCCGATCTACCTGTTCAAAGCACATTGTGCCTCTACATACTAATAGATGACGATCTCAAAAGGGTCGAGGGAAAGTTCTCACTCGACTTCTTCGCGTAGCCACGTATATCGATTCGGGGGACCCTTACGGAAAGCTCCCGCCATCAATAGAAGCCGAGACAAACTCGCATTAGCCACATCATTGGCAGGCTCGGGAGGGCTGTCCCTGAAGGGGTAGATACCAGCGCTAGGAGAAGTCACTTTGGGCTGATGACCGGGTGTGGCCGCCGCCGCCACTGCGACGGCGACGGCTTGCTGCTAGTTGGCAAGAACCGAGGTAGCGTTGAGGAACTCTTAGTGAGCAAGATTTGTTGACCTGAACAACTTGCGGATGTGGGGGACGATTAGTAGAGACCTAAGATGTAGTCGCCTAAGATGGAAAAGTACATCGGTGTCGTAACCGTAGTCGGACAAACTATCGGGCCACAGTGGCCCGGCACCGAGTTCATGCCACTCCGCGGTCAACAAGGCGTAATCGGTATATTTAGAAGCCTTGATTGCATTGTGTTCCGTAAAGCGTTCCCCATTTTTCTTCGATGAGTTGTACTAGATGAATGAGCGGATTAGAGACATATCTTGTATGGTCGGCGAGTCGCCCTATAAAAATATTTATCGGCCGCGGCATCACTCAGTGTTACTTCACCCACATGGAAAAGCCGGATGAAACCGAAACCGAAACACATACTGAAGTCTGGCCACGAGAAATCAGTTATAGTCTAAATGCCCACCACCTTGTGCGATCCCTTCCACCACCATGAGTGCCATATGTCTTATTACGCATACTATTGGTGCGAGTGTTTGAAAATACTCCCGGACTGACCTTGGTTCGAGAACCGTTTTTATGTCGTTTGTTTCCCAAGTTGTTTTCATCGTGAAAATGCCGTACATACTAAGCCCTCACAAAACTTGGTCAATGCTTATCCAGTTAGCTGCACTTCATAGAGGGCTCATGGATCGCTCTCGCAGCAGCCTCACCGTGATGGAGTATGGTGAGTAGCCGTTGCCCC